ACCCCCTTTCTACGGAGAACAACCAGACCCCTGGGCATATCAAGAACAATCTCCTTATCAAGAAGAATTCCTCCCACAACAAGAAGGGCCATCAGATCTTGAGTTACCCATGGCGGCCTTCACTGGCCACTCTGCAGAGCCATGCTACACTTCACTGGAAGATCCGAACAAACAATTAAGGCTTCTCGTGGAGCAGTTTGCTCGAGACACTGAGAGAGCCTGCTCCAAGATGGATCTTCAAATCAAAGCCCTTGCTGCTTCCGATCCCTCATTTCTCCATGATATGGAGGAGACTGTTCAGCGCTCAGCGAAGCAAACAGAGTGGGTGGAGCAAGTTTGCTCACATCTTGCTCAAGATCACCTTTCTGCTACCACGCTAGAAGAGGTGGAGGATGACAAAGGCTATGGGGATGTTGAGGAGCATACAGAAGTTATCACAGAGAACTCCCATGATAATCATGATCAGGAAAGTCCTCTGGTTGCAGATCACACAATTCCTTATTTCTGCTCTAACATGCTGGGCCCGAGCGAGGGGATGCAAGATGATCTCATTGAAGAAATTGCTTGGCGACTTGCTCTCCAATCTGTTCTAGAAGAAGAAGAGCGAGCAAGGATGAGGAAGGAAGTTGTGGAGGATGAGGAAGAAAAAAAAGAAGAGGTGGTTCTTGATCTTTTCCCAGGGGTGATACCACATGAAGAAGAAAGGGGGGTTGAAGAAGCAATTGGCGTCCAGGCTGAGGACGGAGTTAAGGTGGAAGAGGCCTGCACCGGCCATGAGTTGCAAGTAATATCCCCACCAAACTTTGAGGAACTGCTTAGCAAGGACCCATTTGCACTGTCTCTTTGCCAGACCAAGGCCACATCAATATCGGTCCCTCTTGGTGGACGCGATGGTGGCCAATCGATGCTGTCATATTTGGGTTGGGGCAATGAGACGACAGAAGAGAAGAAGAGGTCTCGAGGGTGGAGACTTCATCTGCATCAAGTACACGAGCCTTCATCACCTGCCACACCACATGCTCGTGACTTGAGACTCCACCTCATCGACGAGAACCTCAACTTCAAGGAGGTTCTAGCATGGACCGAAACTTAGGAGCCATCGTTCGGCTCACGACGTGAAAGAAGCGCTTGTTGGGAGGCAACCCAACCAGTCGGTTTGCATTTCTTTCTCTATTTCTCCTCGGTTGAGTCAGTTTTGCTATTTGATTTTAGAGTCAATAACTCAACCTTTGTGAGATTTTGTGTGGTGTTTGTGTTCTGGTTACTCTCTCTTCCTGGAATGCACCGCCTGACCCGTTCATCATCATTCACCCTTGATCTGGTAACTTCGTTCTACCCTCCTTATCTTTCCTCCATTGAGGACAATGTCGTGCTTAAGTGTGGGGGGATGTTCGATTATGTATGCGGGTAAATGTTTGGCTGTTTGTGTGCTTGGAGCCTAGTCCACTGTCCAAATTTTTAAATTTGAGGGCTCCATGTACGTGTTCCTTGCAATTGCCTGCTCAGTATGCTTTGAATTGACAGTCTTTATAGTAATATGCAACCTAGGGAGGTAGTGTAGCACTATGGAGGATGTTGATGCATTTAAGAAATCTCATTAGTTCTTCATATTGTGTTGGTTGATTGAGTGAATTAGTGATCTTAGGACCCTTGAATTGTGTGGTGTTGTGGACTCTCTACCTGTCATGGACTCTTGTATCATGTTTTGAAAGTAACAGGTGCTCGAAAATGTGCTTCAAAATAACGTCTCCCGTGCGAATAGGGCGAAAGTGTGTAAGGGGAGACGGGAATTCGTTCCCAATTTCCACCTACTACCTCCAGCCCCCTTACATGTCTTTCCCCCGCACGAGGCTCGAGACATCCGCTCCTGGCATGGCCGGTAAGAGCAGGTTGGGACCCTTGAAAAAAAAAGAGTAAAGAAAAAATAACAGAAAACAAGCAAAACAGAAAGAAAAGGGGTTCCAACCATCTTCAAAGAAAATAGAGCACCTTGAAAAATGTGATCCATGATCCTTTGTTTTTTAGAATCTCTTCATCCTCAATTTATTTGTCCTCTGTTCACTATTTGCCATGATGCCGACTCGATACTAGTGCTCTCGCCGAAGAAGCTATGAGATGACTTGTGTGTCGGTTGACCTCGTAAGCTGCTAAACGATCTAGGAAGTCCTCTACCTACGATCTGGGGTGTATGTTGCTATAGAGCTCTGGAGAGCTGCATTGGTTTGAGTTAGGTTTGCTTGGGGACAAGCAAACAGTTAAGTGTGGGGGGATTTGATGACTCGGTATTTGCACATGTTTTCCCCTTTGTTTCTTGATTGTTTGAGCTTGAATTATCGTGTCTTTGGCCTATTTTACGCTAGGTTGTGTTCCTTTGTCACATTTCAGGTCCTAGCACATAAAGTGAAGCATAGGCACAAGTTTCAAGTCAATCAGAGATCAATTGACGATTCGGGAGAAGAAACTCGGGTATGACCTGAATAAGAATGGATTTCTACCTCACTTTATGGACAAAGAATCATGCAAGCTTGTCATGAAAAGAAAGAGGACGAGACTACGAGCATCTGGGATCAAACGGCGACTGATTCGGAGTCCGGACAAGGGAGAAACGAAGCATTAAACAGAGGCTGAGCAAGCCACACGGGCACAACCCACACGGCCGTGTGACCTGGCCATGTGGCCGTGTGGAAATCATCGAGCCTTCACACGGGCAGCTGGGAAAGCCACACGGCCGTGTGGCCTGGCCGTGTGAGTCGGGAATTGCTATTTAAAACCCGATTTCAGCAAAAGGAGAGGGAGAGAGCTGGGTTTTGGATCCCAAACACCCAAGGGACGAACCCTAGAGAGGGAGAGCGACTTGGGAACGTTCTTGGAGCTATTTTGGAGGATTTCTTCGCCATTGAAGCTCGGGAATCAAGCTTGGAGATGGAGATTGAAGATCTAGATCAGATTTCTGCAGTCTCTCTCTTCTCTATGGAGTAACTTCCTTTCACTTAGGTTTTGAGGAACCCTAGTTCCATGAGTTAGGATCTTTCTTGTATGAAGTTTTGGATGCTTTATTGTTTGATTATAATCGAATGATGCATGTTTATTGAGTCAATTGAAGTCTGATCAACTTTTCCTGATTCCTGCTGCAATCTGAGATAGATAGAATCTGATTAGGTTGCTAGAGTCTCATCATTCGGTAGTAGGAGATTGGCTATACGAGAGTTAGCCAGTTTACTGCTTTGTACTGGAATCCAATTCCAGTAGTGGAGTTCTGTGCTTATTGCTTCAGCTTTCTATCCCGGTGAAGACTAGTCGTCTGCCGGATAGTTCGACTGAGAGGGTTTGGTCAGCTTAAGAGATTCCAAGCTACTGTCGGATCTTCCGCAGTTTAATCAACAGTAAAACAACCAAAAGGAATTACAACTTGGACCTAATTGAGGAGCTAGGGGGAATCATACCTAAGTGAGTTCCCAAACTGTAATTAGTAGTTTTACTTAGTTTAGTTAGTAGAGTAGTTTGGTTAATCAATCCTTAATCTAGTTTGCTAGATAATGAACTGAAGCTGAGTAATAGTAACTCTAGAGACCCGTGGATTCGATATTTATTACTTGTGCCACTATACTGCAGTCTATTTCATTGGTTACACTTGGCCATTGTTAGGTGTTGTGTTTTAGCGTGTCAACGATACTAATGAAGATAAACTGGATTGCGAGCAGAGACACCGTCAACCGTGACCGTAGCGGCTGGGGCAGGATCAAAACCGTCAAGATACCCCATAAGGTCGAGGCCAGCCATGAGGGACAACAAGTGAGCGCGCCACGACGGAAAATTCTGGGCGGTGAGCTTCAACGGAAGGGCGGCGACCGGATTGAACGTGACGATGGGAGCCTCACCACCAGCACCGCCGGAGGTAACCTCATCGAACGACTCGGAGCTGACACCAAACATTGTGGCGACAAAGGAAGAAATGGCAGACACTGAGCTTGGGTGCCGACAAAAGTAGACGCTGATCGTGGGCGTCGATGAAAGAAAAAAAATAATTTAGGGTTGCTGGGGTAGGAAAGCCAGCTCTGATACCATGTAAGGTTTGGGCTAAACGTGTGGAATATTATTAACACAAGGGGTATTTATACCCAAGGATTACAAGAGTAGTATACTACAAGGACTAGGATTACATGATGAGTAGGTAACTTAGATTACAAGTAAACAGACATGTTACTTATCCCAATAGAGACGAGACCAGACGTTCCAATGCCATCTGAACCTCCCCTTGTTCAAACAGCAGTGACTAGCTTCCCCGGCTTCTCCCCGGATTTTCACGAGATGTTCCGACGCCAACGCTTCCACCGTCGATCCATCTACTCGGCTGCCACACCTCTATCGGCTTCTCCTGTCGATGGCAAGCTGCCGGCTTTAAAAATCGGATTTGTCTGGTCAAAAGAATCGGGGGAGTACAAAGGAAGACATTGCTTTTGTCGAGTGTGCTGTGTGCAGAGGGGAGGGGTGTGATTTTGTTGTTTTCTAATTAATTGATATTGGAGATAAATAAAATAATTAAAAACTGAAATAGGAGTAAATAAGGGACAATTAGGTAATTTCCTAGCTCATTTAACGATCACTTAACAGAAAATTAGATGGAAGGGTAAGCTTCTTACGTTTTAATATTAGAAGGATGTGTTTGTGCAAAAATTTAGTTTAAAGGTACGTTTGTCAATTTATTATAGTACAGTGAGTACAAAATGGTATTAACCCAAGTATTTACTCACTAATGGGTAGACAACCAGACTCATGAGTCATGATCATTGACTAACTGGCCCTGAGTTCGAATGCCATTATCTCCTTCTTCCTCCTCATCACGCAAGAGTTTCCCATAGATTCAGTTTTGTCGCTGGTGAGTATTTTGAACTTGGATACTTTTTATTAATCACATCATCCATAACCCACCATACATGACACAATCAACTCGTTCATTCGATATTCTTTGAATAGCATTTAGTTCCACATATATATCTCCATCAAAATGTACAAGAAGGCGAGGCCCCCGGCCCGCCGAAGTAGAAATGGGCCCCGGGCGACGGCGAGGCAACTCTAGGCCCAAAATCGATGTTGTAGCAGGGTTCCCTCGACGTGAAGGTCTCGATTCTTTCTGGGTCCGTCGCCACTCCATCACTGGTCAAGTAGGCCGCGTTTTGAAAGTAGCAGGCTTGGCTGAAACCTTTGCCAGCGTAACGGCCGCTCCCCATTTCGGTAGCGGTGTGACCACCGTCCTGCAGGCTCTTGCTGTTCACCACCTCACCGCCCCAACTCACCCGATTCGATCTCTCTGCCAGGCTCGTGAAAATGACCGGCGGGAAGTACCCCATTTCCTCTCCTTGGAAGGTCAGCCACCAGTTCCCGGTCTCCAAGTCCTGACGTAGATCGTGACCAATAAAAAAAAATTTAGCCAGTGCTAAAATTTTTACTTTGGAAACAATATGGTAAATATATGTATGAGTGTGTTTGGAGAGAAGGATGTTTGTATTAGGTATTTAGAATTTGGATTTTCCAATGCTAAATTATTTGTTTGGATATTGATTATATATTGTATTTGGATTAATTATACCAAATTTAAAGAGTGATTTTTGAATCCATATCTAGTGTATTACTTGTAAATTTCAAATATCTATCAACAACAAGTTATTTGATATTCGTTTTTGTAAAATTTACAATTTCAGGTATTATAGTGTAAGACAAAAGATATAAAGGTACAAAAACCTAATTTTACCATCATAATTTCCGGACCTCTTTGTAAAAAATTGAAGTTCTGGGGCTAGCTTGGAAGAAAAAATAAATTTGAGTACCAAAATACAATTCCAAAAATTATATTATGTCACCCAGAAATTGAAAATTAAAATAAAAAGCACAAAATATGAAATAGCAATAAATTATAAATGAGCATTCAAAAAGTGAATTCAAATTACATGTATTTCAAATATATACAGTTTAAAATTGAAATGCAAGTATTCAAATAAATGCATTACAAATACATTGCATTTTAAATACATACAAATAAGTGATCTCACCTTGTGGATGGTCATCAAAACCTGTCTCTGAGGCTGATCGTAGGATGAAACAGGACCTATAGGCTCACCCAAGGCGTACTTGTTACTTGTTTGGACGAAACCAGGGCAATCCAAATTGTAACACCCGGTCGAATTGTACTCGTCTCTCTGCCCACAAAAATTCGCAGTCCATAGACCAAATGAAAAATTACTTCATCAATTTGATTTGTTAATTTCCTGTTCATGTTGGAAAGTAGTATATATTGTGATAACATAGTGTAAAAGCAAGTGATCCCAACTTACAGTCCAAGATGTGAATATGCTTGGCTGGTTTTGTTTCTTGGTGACCTGCAGGAATTCAAACACAACAACCGATCATTATTCTTCTAATTTCAAATTGTTTTTTATACAGTAAAATGATTATCTCAGTATGCAATACGAGAGAAATTAAACGAGTGTTGTGCCACATAGAATGAGATTAAAAACTAATAAAATGTTTGCCACAAGTTTTTTATTTATAGCGATTGATGAAATCAGTGGCGGAACTAGAAATCGAAATGAGTAGGAGGGGCTGATTTTAATTGTTGCAATTGGGGGAGGTGAGGCTAAAGGTAAAGACTTACCGAATATTCTAATTTCTAAATTTATACCAAATTTACATGTAATTTGCCCTATATTTCAAAGTTAAAGAGAACTACTACCCTTTCTGTCTTCCATCTATCTCCACCGCTGAATGAAACATTACGTTATAACAAAAGTAAATTAAAAAAAAGCAAACAGAGATATGATACAGAGATATCATCGATGATTTTCATTTTTCAATATGAAAATCTCAATGTTTGTATCCCTTTAACACAAAATAACAAAAAAATGAAATCAAATGAAATTAAATCAAGGACTCACCATCCAACCAAACTCGATGACATTGACTTCTGGGCCAGCATAGACCCAAAGTTGGGCCGTGCTGAATTCGTTATCCCCTTCTACTTTTGGGCTCCACACGTTGATATTTGCCGTCGCTCCATAGTAGTTGCCTCCAAAGATGGACGCTTGAACGAACTGTAAAAAAAACAATTGAGTACTTATTAATTTGCTGAGTACGCATTTATCACCCATATCAATTGTCACCACCTCACCTCATGACCTGTAGGGTCGGTTTCCTTGCCATCCAGGTGGTTGCCGCCGCCGGCCCGATGATCGGCGAATGATGTCGGAACACGTGCCGTCTTACGTGGCACATTCAGTTTTGATCTGGTAATGGGTATGGTTCCAGGAGGGCAAAAACCTCCATTCTTGTGCCAGTTCTGGATCAGCTGCGGGTCTGAAGTTGAACTATTGTGGGAGTGATTTGGTGTCTTGATTCCATGTGGATATGAACTGGGCTTCATCTGCAGATAAAGCCCAAATGTTCATTTTATGAATAAACCCAAACATATTAGCACATCTATCAATGAATGAATCAGATGGATGCATGGTTGGAAAATTTTATGAATTCATGAACATCATTTTTGGATGTATAATGTATTAGACTATTAGTAACATCACCCATACAAGAAAAGAATAATCACATAATAGATTTAAAGAAAATCTATCTAACTGCAAAAAAAAAAAAAAAAAAAAAACATCTATCCAAAAAATGAATTTGCGCAACAACCCACCCACTAAACCGTGGTTAGGAGAAAACTAATACCTGGATAACATGATTCTTGAGAAGCGGATGTCTCAAAGCCGGTTGCTTGTATAGTTGCACACAATCAATCACACCACCATCTGCACTCTGCAAGATTTGCACAAAGAATAATTAACCATTACTTTACCACCACAATGAAAAACGATTTTGTGACCAAATATGAGAGGTTGCCAAAAACAAAGAGTGATGCCGTCAGAATCTTTAGTAACCGTGTTCCTCATTTTTAGTGACCATGGTTTGGTCACGGAAATTTCCTTTTCTTGCATACACAACTATACATTTATGATTTAGAGAAGAAAAAAAGTACGGTATTCTGGAATTGACGAATTACCCTTATTGTTTTAGCAAAACCACTAGTACTGCTGGATGCTTGAACTTGAACACGGAGGGATTTGGTTAAAGCCAAGACGAGTATTATTGATGCCCAAAACAATGAATTGATGTTTTGCTGAGTTTCCATTGCCATAATGGACCCTGAAAAGTTGAGAGTACCGCACAAGAGAAGCTATCATGTTCTAATTTATATACCCCAAATCAAACAAATCAGTTTATCTATGGAAAAAACCGATCATCAAATCATGTTTCTCTAGTCTCGCCAAAAAACATTACTTCTTTACTTTTGTATCTTGTTTTTTTATGGTAATACAATTAATGAATTGAGTCACTTTCGTATCCAAGAATTAAAACTATTAGGAATTCAGATCCAGTAAAGCATAACTAGATTTGGGGAAGATTTTCCACCAAAAATGAGAAAAGAGGTTCAGAAAAATATTAACGTTCTCATCCTCGGTACGTGGAGCGTTATCTGTCATTAGGATGGAAGTATATTTGGTAAAAGGCCAGATATGCACAATCCTACAAATTCTTATTTCAGTCCATCCATTGGTCGCCACTAATAACCCAAATTTAATGCAAGGATAAGGAGGGGCGACATGATAACTTATTTACCTCTGTATTTTATTTTTTACTTTTTATTTTATTTTATTTTCGAGTGATATCAAGAGAAGAAAAGAGTTATACAAATAAAACTACCCAAGAATTCCCGACAAGCGACTCCTTAATGAAGCCACCCAAATAAAGTCGAAAGACTCTAACTCTACGAGAGACAAATGCAGTGCTTTACGCGACACTCTATGGGCAACAATGTTGGCGGCTCTAGAAACCGCCCTAAACTATATACAAACTAACAACGAGTCTACAATCTGACGACACTCTTGGATCACTGGACCTCCAAAGGAATCTTCTTGAACATCATGACGGATAGCTAGGAGCTCTGCTAGGTAGGGGTAGATTACTCCCTAGAGACGTATACCGGCTGCCAGCACCACATGCCCGTCTAACCCACGGATAGCAAGACCAAACGAGCACCCTGAGTCACGAACAGCTTCAACGAAGTTGATCTTCAAATAGTCTTCCGGTGGAGGCTCCCAAGTGGCTGGAGGAGGGATTAGAAGGAGCGATTTGGGAGGGAGACGGCGGATGAGGGGTCGAATATTGGAGACTTCACGGACCTGGTAGTAGAAATGTCTGGCGAGGGATCAGACATGAGGTTGGTTGAATTCAAAAATCACTTTATTTCTATACTTCCAGATTCTACAAAGTAACCAGGCGCATTGGAGAATGTGAAATGGGGAGATCTCAGAGATCTTGACATATGTCGCCACCATAGAATAAAATTGACAGTCGGGGCGGAATCAATCAGTTGCTCAATCCCACTAAAGTCCACAACTTGTTGGCTAGGGGGCATCTGAAGAATAAGTGTTCAATGCTCTCTTGATGTCGCCAACACACGAGACATCGATCGAGGCAATTAACTTCACGTGTTTGTAGAGCTACCATTATTGGAAGAATAACTTTGAGGCTTTGTGCTATGAAGAGTGACATTGACGTACGACAATTAAGTTCACGAGGATTTAAACTCCCCTACATCAAATTGTAACATCCAAAAATTCAATTATCTTTAACTAATATGGTTGTTACCAACGAGGCTTCAAATATGGCCCAAAATTAATATGAGAAACTTAATTGTTCATTAGTACTTTGGGAGAACTAAACCCGTGCAATCGTGCTATTAATATATTAATTAACACCACACCGAATGTATGAGCCATTAATTGCATCTTGTAACAGCCAAAAAGCTAGTGAAGGTCACCAGAAGTTTGCTTTGATCACACGAACATCTTCACGAAGGCCATCCTGAAGGAACGCCGACAGCTAGCACATGAGTTCCATAGTGATAGATTGGTTCCCTCTCCACTTTTGGGGTTACTTCCTGAATTTCATGCCTAAAGTTTTTCTTCACAATTGGAAGGTTAATTTCAGAAAAGAGGAGAGGAGTTTGCCACACTATACTTTGAAAACCATAAATTAATTCTGGAAGCCAAGAATTAATTTTTCTATCCCATAAATTGATATATAAACCAACCATTAAAGGTTATAAAGAGCCATAAAAAATGCTTTGGTGACTCATTAATCACTTATAACGATCATTTAAGACCCAATAACATCAAATAACATAACTGATGTATTAAAACCCAAATAGGGCGAAATGGACCAATGAGGCCATTAATTGGTCCTTACTTCTCGCTGGAGGAAGATTGATTGCAGGGACCGCCACGTTAACAGAGTCACTGGTGGAGATTCTCAGCTGGCCGCCGCTTAATGCATCTAAGCCTGTAGTCCAAGCGTTCCCCTTCGTTCCGCTATTAACTAGTGAATCGACGATGAGAACTAAGAACCCAAATGGCAGATTGCTCACAACCTAATCGCTTTTAACTTTCCTAGAAACCAATCAAGCAAGTGAGAAAAACAAAATCCCCAGCATAAGAACCTGACTTAATCTCCCTCATCCTGTACCCACTACCAGTGCCATTGCCCGGAGCCGAAGAAGGGGTAGAACCGCCGGGAGTGGAACCAGGAGCAGGGGAAGAAGCCGGAGTCGTGCCACCGGTCAGTTGCAGCGTCTCCATATAGGGTTTGCGATGGAAATTACATATCCATGAATAATTTTACCCAAATCCAAGTAAACCCATTAATTTTTTTTTTATGAATGGTAGGGCATTTCATTTCATCAAAAACGATCAAAACTTTTGCTGGCAACAAAAACTCTAACCAGCTGAGTTAAGAACCTTTAACAATAGACAATACTGGAACTAAACAAAAATAGCCAACACTATAACACACACTAGAAAAACCTATCAAGGATTCCATGACCCAATAGTAGCCTCAGATCAACCTTTATCAAGGGAGTCAGCTCCTCCAAGTCAAAAACCTTGCCTCCAAACTTTATCCTGCATCTCTCCCTCCATATACTGGCAACCAGACTCTGCCAAACCACTTTCCCCACCTTAGCTGTTTCATTCTTCTGCATAAAGTTCCGGGCTGCACACTGCATTTCAGTCAGCCATTGATCACCAGGAGTATGGGTAGAATACTTTGCAAACAACCGCATAAAGAGCTGTTTATAAGCAAAGCATTCTGCAAAAATATGTGATCTAGTTTCCAGGGCAGATTTACGGAAAACACAGAAGTGATTACCTGTAGCCCCCCACCCTTGAGCCTTATCCCTTGTCATAATATAATCATTTACAATAAGCCACACCAAGAACTGGTTTCTGGGAATACTTGTTCCTTTCCAAACCAGAGAGTACCATGACACAGTGGTAGCTTTAGGTCTAAGCTCCTCCCAGACTTTCTTTATTTGGAATTATTCCATAAGTTCTCCTTTCCAGTAAACCCCATTAGCTCCAACCACCAGATAATTACTCATCCTATCTCTGTATTTCAACAATTTCAACCACAGCCAAGACCCATCCTTTGAGGTGACAGTCCAGAAATCCTCATCTTTGATTCTATACTCCCAGACCCAGGCCACCCATAATGACCCTTGTTTCAACAAAATAGCCCAGACATGCCTTGTAACACAGGCCAGATTCTAAGATAGCATATCATGAAATCCTAGACCACCTTCCTTCTTGGGATAGGTAACCCTTGGCCAAGCAACCACAGCCCTTTTCCTAGAACCATCTCCCACACCCACAGAAAATCACTGCACAACTTCTCTATTGCTCTAATAACTGATTTAGGAAGAATAAAAATCGACATCCAGAATTGTGTGAGACTATACAAACTGACATGACTAGTTGGTACTTCCCTGCATAAGACAGTGCTTTTGCTTTCCAGCTAGATATTCTACCTGTCACCCTATCAATCAGAGGCCTGCAAGCTTTGACAGTAAGTTTTCCTGCCAGTAGAGGAAGCCCCAGATACCTAACTGGTAACCCCCCCAACTTATACCCTAAATGGTTAGCCATAGCCTCCTGCCATTCCACACTAATACCACCACAGTAAAGCTCACATTTTGCTGGATTAGATTTTAGCCCTGACATTCTTCTGAACTCAGCAAGAACTTTCTTAATACATTGGATCCCATAGTTAGAGCCATCAGAAAATAACAAGAGATCATCAGCAAACATCAGGTGAGTCAATCCCAGTCTCTTACACATGGGGTGAAAAGGCATCTCATTTCTCTTAACTGCTTCATTCATTAGACAAGACATAACTTCCATAGCCACAGCAAACAGATATGGAGACAGGGGGTCCCCCTGCCTCAGCCCCTTCCTAGCAGAGAAATACCCCACTGAACCCCCATTAAACCCAATACTCAGCTTGGGTGTGGTAACACACATTCTCAACCATTTCAAAAAACCAGCAGGTATCCCCATTGCTTGCAATGTATTAAAAAGAAAGCCCCAATCAACTGAATCAAAGGCCTTCATCAGATCTACCTTCACCAATGACCTAGGGGAGATATTCTTTCTACCATATTTCTGGACCAGCTCATGTGCAAGAAGAATATTTTCCCCTATTACCCTACCCTTAACAAATGCAGTTTGAGATGCACTAATTAAACAAGGCATAACAGAGCTAAGTCTCACAGCAAGAATTTTGGCCACACATTTGTAAAGAATATTGCAACACGAAATAGGCCTAAAGAATTTCATCTCTTCAGGGGACTGGATCTTAGGAATTAGGGCTAAGAGAGTTGCATTAACACTTATTGGAATCTCAGAAACTCGAAAACAGTAAAGGATTGCTGATGTTACCTCTCCTCCAATGACATTCCATGTTGCTTTAAAGAAACAAGCAGGGAACCCATCTGGCCCAGGGGCTTTCTCCCCATCAAACCCAAACAGTGTAGTTTTTACTTCCTCAGCTGTAACAGGGGAACACAGCTCTTCACTCTGCTCAGGTAATAATTTCTTAAGAAGAATACTCTTGATTTGGTCCACCTCTGGAATAACAACTTCTGGATCACATTTCCCCAACAGGTCTTTGTAAAATCTCTCTGCTATCCCAACCATTCCATCTGTGTCTGTAACCCTCTGACCATCTTCACTAATTAAGGATCTTATCATATTCCTTTTTTGGCGACTCTTAACTGAATTATGAAAGTATGGAGTATTCGAGTCCCCCTCCTTAAGCCATATCTCCCTGGATTTTTGGCGAAAAAATGATTCTTCAGCCTCTCTTAGCACCCTAGCCTCCATAGCAAGCCGAATCTCCTCTTCAAAAGAACTAGGTGAAGGGTGTTTTAAAGCCTCTGCCTGAGCAATCACCAGTTCAGATTCCTTCATACGAACCCTTGCACTGAGATCAGAAAAATCATCCTTATTTAACTTCTTGAGCAGACCCTTGAGCATCTTCAGCTTTCTGCACACCCTAATCAGAGGCGACCCCTCTACCTGCATCATCCAAGCTTCTTTTACTAAGTCCATAAATCTAGGATGCTTGATCCAGAACTTAAAAAATTTGAACAACTTTGGCATTGACTTCATAGTACTATCAGTATTTAGTAGAATCAGACAGTGATCCGATACAGAGGGCTCCAGAAGATCAACAGTGCTAGAAGGCAGCCCCTCAAACCACTTAGTGTTCACAAACACTCGGTCCAGTCTCCTTGCTATTGGATTCCCCACTTGCTTGTTCATCCATGTAAACCAGGGACCTGATGACTTATGTTCTTCTAACTCACAATCATATTGCCAATTTTTGAAATCTGACATACTACTGGAAAACTGAGGCATATTTGAAGCCTCATTGACATCCCCTATGGAATTAAAATCCCCCAGTACAGCCCAAGGAGCAGACTGAACTTGCAATCAAACCAGCTCACTATATAGAGCCCTCCTATCCACTTCCTCATTTGATGCATAGACAAAAGTAAGGAAAAAAGGTATACCTGAAGCCACCAACACATGGATAAACTGGTCAGTCAAATGAAGAACTGTAATTTTAATATCTGACTTCCAGAGTAACCATAGCTTGCCAAGCCCACTTGAATTATTTGCCACCCTTGACTCCCAGCCAGGAAACCTCATAGCAATCAACTGATCTGCTTTATTTGCTCTAACCCTAGGTTCTAGTATAGCTAGTATATCTATACTATGTATATTTAGTAGCTTTCTAACAGCTTTATTTTTATCCGAGTCATTAAACCCCCGGATATTCCAAGTAAAAACTTTCATCTCTTCTTCCCAGCCCTACCCGCTTTACGAGGGCCAACCGGTTCAACTCTTGGTGTGATAGGTTTCCTCTTAGTACTACCCACTGTGATCCACGGATTAGGCTCCTTCCCTGCTGCAACCATCTGAGGAAATACCCTCCCATCACTTGGTGAAGCAGCTCCAACAGATGAAGATTGAGACTGATCAGAACTCCCAGCCAGAGCTGGTGATCCCGAAACAATCTCAACAAAGCTAACAGCAGTACCCCCATTGATCAAAGGTGTAGGAGCAACTGCAGGAACCTGAACTTCAATCTCCTTCCCTTTAGACTTAGTAGCCACAACTGAACTATCAGCCTGAACCACCTCTTCCAAGACACCATCAGCCTGAACCCCATTTCCATTCCCTTCAGTATTCTGCACATTCACAACCTCACTCACCTCAGCATTGATTCCATTAACCTCAACCTGCTGTGCAGACCCCTTAACTACCCATTTCTTATCACTGCCAGCCAAAGTCTTGCAATCATGACCATATACCTGACATTGAGGACAAACCCTAGGCAAGTTCAGGTACTCAATGTTCACATCAAAAGGTGGGTCATCATCCGGGTAAAGACGCACCTTCGATGGAAATCCACATTCTGCCGACAGATCAACACACACCTTTGCAAACCCCAACTGCCCTCCAACCCTAGTTGTTTTGTCCATCCAAAGGGGAGGTCCAACCGTACTCGCAATCCACTCTAACCCCTCAGTAGAATGATATTCCAGAGGTATCCCCCAGATTGACACCCAGATAGGAAGCGTTTCAATCAATGGATTCACTGGTTGAATACCTGGTGACCATTTCCGGAGATATAGCTGGTTCCCCTGAAAGTGCCATGGCCCTGAATGAAATACCCACTTACTAGTAGAGGAAGAAGGAAATTGGAACACAAACATTCGAGCTCCAAATCGAGAAACTCTCACAACTCCATCCCTCCCCCAAATAGCAGTAGCCCAGGTTTGGAGCTGAGCAACCTTCGGCTGAGCACCAACAAATTGACCAATAAGGCAATCGCGCCAGCGTTCCTCACCCTTCTTCTTCACTTCTCGCGGGAGTCTGAAACCATCATTGACCCGCTCCGGAGCACGGAACTACATCCTATTCTCCTTCGGGACATCAAAAAGCTGAGCCCAGGTACTGACCCCCGGACCCTTGCGCGTCGTCGGAGCAGAATCCGACGACGAGGCCGCCATCACAATTTCAAGACGAAACCCATTAATTAAGGGTAGGGTATGGATGCCCATTTTCTTGAGGTCAACTACACATACATAATTGGACCTATTTGTAAATCTTAAAAATTTTAGGTATAAAAATATAAGACACAATATTCTAAGGTACTAAAAAATAACTTACCTTTGATTTTTTTAATTATATGCAAAAATAATTAAATTCAAATACTTAATATAAAGATCTAT